TTTTTTAATTTTTTTTAAGAATTATTTTATTTAACTTTATTTATTTATTTACTTATTTTAATTTGGCCAGAGAGAGACAGAGTGAATGAGAGAGAGAAGGAAAATGAGAAAGCAAGCCACCAGGTCCAAGTGTGGTTGGCAATGTGGGAGTCCAGTGCCCCCAACCACCATGCTACCCGCCTGCCCCCGTATTATACATTTCTATTCATTTCACTGCACAGGTGTGAATTAGGATATATACTGTACATACGTGTGTATGCGTGTCCCATGTGTATGCATTGATCCCAGCACCTTGCCATTTATTGAGTCATTCTTCTCACAAGGGCGAGGTAGGGGCTCTTTGAAGTGTCTCTCTTTTAATAAATTTCAATAGGCCCAGCCACAATGGCACAAGCAGAAGGCATGGGGATGACTGAAGCCTCAAAGGAGGCCAGCTTAGGGAGGCCCCAAACAGGCTGGATATGGTGTCATGTGCTTGTGGTCCTAGCCATCTGGGAGACTAAGGCAGAAGGATCATGCATGGTTAGGCCTTGTCTAAAATATCTATAACTTAAAAAGTCATAATATTGGAAGTTATTTAGAAAGCTGTCTTCCAAGGAAATTGGATATACTGTAGAGGTAGAACACACACAATTTTATTTTGTGCAGAGCAAGACAGGAAGAGGATAAGATTCAGCCTCCACTAAAGTGAAAAAAAGAAAAGTAATTGAATTTAACAAACTACCCAAGGTATAGTGTGGGCTAGTGGGGACAGTTTAGACTACTGGGGAACTCAAATATAAAGACATTTTATCTATGCATCTGGTTTTTGTCAGAGGCTTTCCTAGGATCCTCATAGAAAATCAGGGGCAGTGCAGCACACCTTGAACTCCACCGCATGTATGGATTGTCAGAACTGGCCTAGGTCTGAGATGGAGCTGCAATTCCTGGAGGCAACATTCATGCTTTACGTCCTTTTATGCATGAGCGTAAGCTGGTCATCAGCTGCTACTGCTGACAGGTATCAAGTCTGCCCAGACTGCGGAACCTTCTCTTACACATGGCCAAACCCATCTTCTGCTGGAGAAGCTGAAGACCTAGCTCTCATGAGGATTTGCTCTGTCACCAGGAAAGCTCAATGGCCACTGGGCTAGGTCTGTGTTAACATAGGCAAAGCCTTTTGTCACCCTTAAACACGCTCGGACACTGGCGTAGGTTGTTGCCACAGGCGAAGAGGGGAGGGACTAAGGGAACATCCTGGACTGAAAGAATGAGTTGTTTGCTCTAGAAAAGGTACAAGAAAGCTAGAAAGCATAGCCATTACATTTTACTTAAAATGTTATGATAATACTTGAAACTACACTCTTATAAATGCAAGATCTTTATTTTCAGATCTAAAGCAGAATTCTTTAACCTTAGCACTACCAACATTGTGAGCCAGGTAAGTCTTGGTTACAGAGTCAGCTCTATGTGTTTTAGAATGTCATGAGAATCCCCCTACAGGTGCCAATAGGATCCCCCAGCTGTGAAAAACAAAAAAAAGATATCCAGAATTGTCTCTCCAAATGTCCCCTGAAGGGGTGAGTCACTGCAGGTTAAGAGACACTGGCATAGATCAATGGTAAATAAATAAATACAGGTATAGCTCTAAGCTAAGAAGCAAAATTTATTTATAAAAAGAAATTGATTGTAAGAGGCATTAAAAAGAAAAAAGGAACAAAAATGAGGTCAAACAGAAAACAAATAACAGGGGCTGGGTGTTTGTGCAGCAGTACAATGCCATGCTCTGTGAGACTGACTCACAGGGAAGGGAAGGTTTCTGTGTTTACATCCCAGAAACATTTCTTAATATACCAGGCACATGCATGTCCATGATCTGGGGCCAGCCGGGGCTGCAGGTGGACTGGCATTGGGACCTATCTCTTTCTCTCTCACACACACACATGGATGAAATAAATAAACCTTAAAAAGGAGAAAACAGGAAATAGTAGACAGTGTAATGGTTATGTTGCTGGATTCCAACATGGTCAATTGCAGACTGAGTCCTGGACTCAGTCCTGGAAAAAAACAAACGAACAAACAAACAAACAAACAAAAACTCTTCTGCCCTAAGCAAATACCAATTACGAATAAAATATAACTGTTGAAATTCCAGGGAGCAGCAGATGGCATAATGGTTACATCGCTGGACTCCCATGTAGTCAACCACGGTTCGAGTACCAGATCTGGTGGCTTAAAACTCATGCCAGGCACATGTGCACGTGCGCCCCACATCCTGAGAGGAGAATAGAAGAGGAGAGATTGCAGTGTGGTTATCTCACCTGAGGTGTGATTTCCCACTTTCTGTCTCTCTGTCTCTTCGGTGAGACCACGTGATCCATAGCAAAAAATCTCTCTAAAAAGAAAATAAAAGTGGATTGCCCAAAACAAAGATGGTTCAAGACTATGATAGCTATGTCAATAGAAAAGAAATGTAATGAAGCTACACTGTTGAGAGGTGGTGAACTATCCTGAGACTCCTTACCTCAGTCTCAAACAGGCAGTGGATATGGGAATTCTGCTTCCATTAACTCATGAAGCTAAAATCCTGCCTACACAACAGGAGTTAACAGCTTAGCTAAAGGAAACCTGCTTGGAATTAACTCTGAGTTCCTCCATTAAATACCTGTGGTCTTTGGTAAAATGCTGATGGTAGTAACAGGGATTGTGTGGGATAAATTGAATTAACGCATATAGGGCACCAAGTGTGCTGAACCATCAATTAGTGTGTGAGATCAGGGATTCCCTACCCTTGGGCCACAGAATGGTACTAGTCATGGCCTGCTAGGAACTGGGCCATACAGCAGCATGGAGAGTGAGCAACTGAATCTACATCCATATTTATAGCTGCTCCCTATGACTCATATTACTGCCTGAGTTCTACCTCTTGTCAGATCATTGATGGCATTCTCATAAGAATGGGAACTCTGTTGTGAACTGCAAATGCAAGGGATCTAAATTGTGCACACTTTATGAGAATCTAATGCCTGATGCTCTGAGGTGGAGTTGAGGAACAGCTGAAAATATTGCATTATGGTGAGTTGTATAAATATTCAATAATATATTACAATATAATAATAGAAACAAAATGCACAATATATATAATGTGTTCACATCATCCTCAAACCATCTTCCACCCTGCCCCTGGTTCGTGGATAAATTATCTTCCCCAAAATTGGTCCATGGTGTCAAAAATTTTGGGGACCACTATGAGAATCCATCTGCCTTCATCTGTGTAAAACCTCAATGTCAGCATTGTTCCACTTCCTTTACATAAAGTTTGTGCTTCCTGCTGCATCATTGCTGACAACTGCAAACCTGTTAGCCTCATTATTTCCACCAGCTCCTACTCCATTACTTGGTCTCTTTTGTTGCAATATTTGAAACAGTTGATATGTTGGGACGAGCAGATGGCGTAATGGTTACGTCACTGAGTTCCCACATAGTAGACTATGGTTCGAGCCGCAAACTCAGCAGCTTAATACTCAATGCCATGTGTGTGCATGTGTGAGTGCATGTGTGCCCAAAATCCCAAGAGGAGAATGGAGGAGAAGGGATTGTAACATGGTCATATCCCTTGGAGGCTTGATTTCTTGCTTTCTGTTTCTCTGTCTCCCTGTCTCTCCAGCAAGCGCATGTGCTCTATAGCAAAAAACCTCTTAAAAAAAAAAAGACACACACAAAAGAGTTGATATAATAAATTCCCCAATTCATCTCCTGTTATTATGTTTTAAACCTATTTCAGATATTTTTTAATCCCCCCAACACCTTGATGAAACTTCTTTTGTCAAGGCCACTAATGACTTCCTTATTGCTTCACCCGTGAAGTCAGTTTTCAGTCTCAATCTTATCTGGCAAATCCTCAGCATTTAATACAGGTTATTTCTTAACTCTTGATAGTTCTTCCCCCTTGACTTGCAGGATTCCAATTTCTTATATGTTTACCCTCCTACTTCATTGGTTACTCATTGTCTGAACCCTTTTTTGGTTCTGTTTTAGTGATGCAGAGCTCAGCTCCAGGTCTTTTGTCTTCTGTATCATGCTCTCTCAGTAAGCTCGTCTACTTTATGACTGTAAATACCAAGCACATACTGATGCTTTTCTAATTAACATATCTTGCCCAGATTTTATCCCCAACTCTGATTCTGAATGTTGCCTACTAGATATTTCCACTTGAATGTCTAATAAACATCCCTGACTGAAGAAATAAAAAGTTGAGTTCATGTTCTTCTCAACCTTACCCCACAAACTTGCTTTATTGCAGCCTTCATTATTATGCTCGTTCACGGAAAAAAGAAAAGAAGAAATAAAGGGAGGAAGGAAAAGATGAGAAGAGAGAAAGAAGAAAGGGAAAGATGGCAGAAAGTACATCCCAAAATCCCAAGAGAAGGAAGGAGAGAGGGAGAGAGGAAAAAAAGGGAGGGAAATGAAGTCATTCTTCTCTGGCATAACATGAAGTTCATCAGCAAATTCTCAAAAATATATTTGGGTACTATATTGGGGTAGTTGGAATTTGAATACTTCCCTTGATAATCACTGTTACCAACCTCATATGCACCACTTTGACAAGATACTATAATAGCATCCTAACTACTTAGCCTTCATACATTTACAGTCTATTTCGAACACAGTGAATATATGATCTTTTTTTTTTTTTACTTTTTTTTTTGGAGAGATTTTCACTGTAGGGCGCGTGCGCTCGCCAGACAGACAGAGAGAGACATAGAGACAGAAAGCGAGAAATCATCCCCCAGGGGGGATGGTCACGCCGCAATCCCTTCTCCTCCATTCTCCTCTTAGGATCTTGGGCACGCACGCACACGCGCCCGGCGTGAGTTTTAAACCACCGGGTCTGGGACACGAACTGCGGTCGACTACGTGGGAGTCCAGCGACATAGCCATTACGCTAACTGCTGGTTCCCTCTTTTTAAAGCTTAAGGCAGATCATCGAATTTCTCACCATGTAAGAGCTTTAGGTTTGTTCTAAGGAAGATGGCAAACCAGTGGAACAAAGTGTGGTGAGAAATTAATTTAAATGACCAATATTTTTAAAATCATGTTGTACTACAGCAATTTAAGGTCAAGAATAATAAGAAAAAAATTTCTGAATAGTAAACAAACACACATAGTTAAGAAACAAGCATAGGTGTAATGTTATCATGGATAAGGTATTACAAATCCATTGTGAAAGGTTTAAATATACAATAAATAGTGTTAGGTTGTACAGTTAACCACATGGAATAAACAAAAATGATCTATCCACCAATTCCAACAATGAAGTTTCACTGAATTTAAGGAAACAAAAGTGAAAAAAAAAAAAGGTTACTTCAAAGATTTGGAAGACTTCATGGGAAGGAAACTTCATAAAATCATAACACGGAAAGATTAATTTCCAGTTTATTTATTTACATATCCCATAAGCAA